TTCATATTCTGCTCACACCTGTAGTTATTTTACGGTTAAAGTAAACAGTGAATTATTTTTAAATCACTACTTATTTTAACCATGACCTAGCTTTAGGCTTCATCAGATTATAAACTTTAATTGTTTGGGTAAAAGTCCTCTGAGAAATACATATAGTAATTCAAGTATAAAGTTCTCTGACACTTTAGTTTACTAAACCTTTGGTACTACAATGGCTACATCTTTAATAGTATACATTACTGCCTGTTTACTTTTCAAGAAAAAGTATGTCCCTCAAATTTCCTTATTCAGTGCAGTGGCTCACACCTGTAGCACTTTCCTAGCACTTTGGGAGGCTAAGGTGGATGGATCACTTAAGGCCAAGAGTTTGAACCAGCCTGGGCAACAGAGCAGGACCCCATCTCTAAAAAAACATTTTTTTAAATTAACCAGACATGGTACACATGCCTGTAGTCCCAGCTACCCAGAAGGCTGAGGCAGGAAGATTGCCTGAGCCAAGGAGTTAGAGGCTGCAGTGAACAGTGATCACGCATCTGCACTTCCGCCTGGGTGACAGAGTGAGACCCTGTCTCAAAACCAAAACAAAACAAAACTTAATTTCCTTGTTCACATTTTCTTTTGTGGAAAAACATAAAAAGAGAATTATGTTGCCATAATTATGAGAATTTTATTAACTTGAAATAACATTTGGCCAGGCACAGTGGCTCACACCCTTAATCCTAGCACTTTGGGAGGCCAAGATGGGCAGATCACCTGAAATCAGGAGCTCAAGACCAGCCTGGCCAACATGGTGAAATCCCATCTCTACTAAAAATACAAAAATTAGCTGAGCATGGTGGTGCATGCCTGTAATCCCAGCCACTCAGGGGGCTGATTCAGAAGAATCACTTAAATTGAGGTGGCAGTGAGCCAAGATCGCGCCACTGCACTCCAGTCTGAGCAACAGAACAAGACTTCATCTCAAAATTTAAAAAGAAATAACATTTAAGGAAGAATTATATTAGCCTTTGTGAAAACAAAAAATGTTCTGACAGTGCCTGGCTAATTCCTCCTTAAAGCTCATAGACCACATTCACAGAGATCTTAAAAGCATCACATGCCCTGCAATTTAATAGACTATTCTCTGATGGATGTGGTCCATTTTAAGATTTCTGTACACTTTCTCCAGAGCTTTTTGTTTTATTCAAGACAGGGTCTGGCTCTGTCACCTAGGCTGGAGTGCAGTGGTGTAATCTCAGCTCACTGCAACTTCCACCTTGTGGCTTTAAGTGATCCTCCCACCTGAACCTCCCAGGTAGCTGGTACTACAGGCTGGTGCCACTACGCCTGGCTAAATTTTTTATTTTTTATAGAGATAGGGTTTCACCTTGTTGCCCAAGCTAGTCTCAAACTCCTGAGCTTAAGCAGTCCACCTGTCTTGGCCTCCCAAAGAGCTGGGGTTAGAGATGTGAGCCACAGCACCTCCCGATCTTGAGCTTTGAAAAACACATTTAAACAGACCTTCACTGAGATACACAGCAATTTCTCTATAGTCAGCCACAATGAAGAAAAAATTAAGAAATTCACAATTTTTTAAATCTATACTTCAGAGATGGACACAATACTGACAATCAGAAGCCATCAAAGGTCACTAATGAATGAAGCAATCTGCATATGTGAATTTCACAAGTTTCATATTTGATACCAAGAACAAAACGTTCTCAGAATTTCACATTAAGAACATCAGTGTTCACAGTGCTCATAGTATATGCTAAGTATCTAAAACCTTTGAAAACACAGCATACTATGAAAACAATATGTGTACATGTACATATGTGTGTGTGTGTGTGTGTGTGCAGACACGTGTGTGTGCATATATATAAATTTACTAAGTACCTTTCTGGCATTCTGTGAAACTTAGCCAGAATTTAATTTTTATTTCTCAACATGCTGAGTGGGTATTATTGATCATAATTGTGATCTATTATATTGTAGCAGGAAAGGATTTAAGAGTTAAATCATAGAAATAAAATATGAATTTTGGAGAAAAACAAAAGAAAACTGGGGAAGAGAGGTACTACAGAGAAGTTACATTCTATGACCACAGAAGTGAAATGAGCAAAATAACAAGGATTTGACCAGGTGGGATTAGAATTTCTCTAAAGTCCTCACACTGCATATATTATTCAGGGTTGCAGTGACAATGAAGTTCCCTTCCCAAGCAATAAGGAAACCATATACAACCAGAGTAAATGATTAGAAAAAGAACCCCTAGGAAGAATAGTATCAGCAAAATGGTGACTAAGAATGGCCAGGTGGGGTGGCTCACGCCTGTAATTCCAACACTTTGGGAGGCCAGGGCAAGTGGATTACAAAGTCAAGAGATCGAGACCATCCTGGCCAACATGGTGAAGCCCCATTTCTACTAAAAATACAAAAAAAAGAAAAATTAGCTGGATGTGGTGATATGCTTCTGTAGTCCCAGCTACTCAGGAGGCTGAGACAGAAGAATCACTTGAACCCAGGAGGTGGAGGTTGCAATGAGCTGCGATTGCACCACTGCACTCCAGCCTGGCAACTGGGCGAGACTCCATCTCAAAAAAAAAAAAAAAAAAAAAGAATCTTCAGGCCCTCATACTCCTTAATAAACATTAAAGAAACAATCGTACACTGGCTAAATAACTTGACAGGAACTCTGGAAAACAGTCAAAGGTTTACAGAAACCAAGTAAACGATCAAGAAATGGCTACATTCAGAACAGTAGGACATGTCATGGCATTTTTGCTCACCCTTGCTCCACCCCTCCCCAGCCACTGTCTTGGTTTGGAGGAGATGGCAGTTCCCAATTCCACCTGTATTAGTCCATTCTCATGCTGCTATGAAGAAACATCTGAGACTAGGTAATTTATAAAAGAAAGAGGCTTAGTTAACTCACAGTTTTGCATAGCTGGGGAGACCTCAGGAACCTTATAGTCATGGCAAAAGGCAAAGGAGAAGCAGACACTTTCTTTACAGAGCAGCAGGACAGAGTGAGTGCCAGCAGGGGAAATGCCAGATGGTTATAAAACTTCAAATCTCATGAGAACTCACTATCATGAGAATAGCATGGGGAATATTGCCCCAATTATTCAATTATCGCCTCTTGGTCCCACCCTTGACACATGGGGATTATTACAATTCAAGGTGAGATTTGGGTGAGGACACAAAGCCAAATCATATCACCATCCCTTGAACCAGAAGGAACAAGACTGACCTTATTTGCAACATTCTAACTTGTCTGGAGGCTGCCTGAATGATTGATCCCTTATTCACCTAACTCAAATCTAAGCTGGGAGACAAGCATGGATTTAAATCTCAGATGAGGAGAAGCAGTAGTCATGGCTCAGCAAAGCCACAGAGAGACTGACCCTACAGATGCCTGGGGCAAAAGATTATAAGTGGAGACATATGACAGACCATTAAGACCCCACAAAGATCTCTTGGAAAATTTAAGATAATTAAAAGCAGTCATCTATACAGAGACTCAAAAAAGCCACAAACAGGCCCAGGCAAGATGCATGCTCCGTAAAGACCTAAGAAGATCTTTAGCTTTCTCTTTGATGTCAAAATTCAGAAGCAAGGCCAAGATAATTAGGAAAGGACTTCTATGGCAAAGAGCCAGTCTTCAGAGAATGGGAGAAGTAGCTGGGTCTCTTTTTTTTTCAAATCCCCAACATACCCATTGTAAATTTAAAAACCCAAAATCACAGTGTATGAAAATAAACAGGGAAACATGGAACATTCAATAATAATAATAAATTAGCAGAAAACTATCCCTGAAAAAATACAGGTATCACACTTACTAGAAAAAGATTTTCAAACAATTGTTTTAAATATGTTCAAACAGTAAAGAACAACATGGACAGAGACCTAAAGGAAATCAGGTAAACTGTATGAACAAAGGAGAATATCAACAGAGATAGAAATTATTAAAAGAACCAACCAGAAATTCTGGAAATGAAAAATATAATAGGCATGTTGGGATAGTCAAACTTAAAAATTCACTAGAGGGATTCAACAGCAGACTTGGACAGAAGAAAGAGTAAACAAGCTTAAAGATAACTTGTTTGAAATTATCAAGTCTGAGGAGCAAAAAGAATTAAAAAGTGAACAGAGCTTAAGAGACTTACAAGACACTATCAAGCAGGACAATATATGCATTATGAAGATCCCAGATGGAGAAGACAGTAAGAAAAATGTAGGGAACTTATTTGAAATATAATGGCCAAAAACTTCCCCAATCTGAGGATAGAAATAGACGTATAAACTCAAGAAGCTCAACAAACTCTAACTATAATAAACCCAAAGAGACACACAAGACACATTACAATCAAACTACTGAAAGTCAAAGACAAAGAGCCAATCTTGAGAACTACAAGAGAAAAAATGACTCATCACATACAAGGGAGCCTAATAAGATTATCAACGGATTTCTCAGTATGAATCTTGCAGGCTAAGAAAGAATGGGACGGTATATTCAAAAACATTAACTGGGTCAGGCAAGGTGGCTCATACTTGTAATCCCAGCAGTTTGGGAGGCTGAAGCAGGCAGATTACTTGAGGTCAGGAGTTCAAGACCAGCCTGGCCAACATGGTGAAACCCCATCTCTACTAAAAATACAAAATATTAGCCAGGCATGGTGATGCATGCCTGTAATCCCAGCTACTCAGGAGGCTGAGGCAGGAGAATCACTGGAACCTGGGAGGCAGAGGTTGCAGTGAGCTAAAATCGTACCACTGTACTCAAGACTCTGTCTCAAAAAAAACAAAAAGTGGGGGAGGGAGGGACAGCGGGGGGTGGGGAGTTGGGGAGAGATAGCATGGGGAGAAATGCCAGATATAGGTGATGGGGAGGAAGGCAGAAAATCACACTGCCATGTGTGTACCTATGCAACAATCTTGCATGTTCTTCACATGTACCCCAGAACCTAAAATGCAATTTTAAAAAAATAAAAATAATTCAATGAAGAATAGTATCTAGCAAAACTGTCCTTCAAATATGAAGAAATTAAGACATTCCCAGATAAAACATGTATAGTCAACACCACTAGATGTTTGCTACAAGAAATGCTAAAGAGAATCCTTCAAATTGAAACAAAAAGATACTAGACAGCTATACAAAATCATATGAAAGTATAAAGTTCCCCATTAAAGGTAAACATATGGGCAACTATAGAATCCTGTGTTATTGTAATTCTGGTGCATAAATCCACTTTTAATTCTTGTATAGAATCTATAAAATTACACAAAAAAAACTATCTAAATTAATGGGTATACAATATATAAATGTAATTTTAACAACAATAACAAAAGAAATAATGGTAAAGGGGAATTTCTGCATGCTAATGAAGATTAGTTATCAGTGTAACATAAATTGCATAAATTTGAAATCTGTTATGTAATCACAATGTTAGCCACCAAGAAAAAGATTTATTTAGTATACTCAAAAGAAAATGAAAAGGGAATCAAAGTATGTCACTATAAAAAAAAATCAGTGGAATACAAAGGGAAGGCAGTAAGAGAAGAAATGAGGGACCAAAAAGCCACAAGATGTACAGAAAACAGGTGACAAAACAGCAATAGTACATCCTTCCACATCAATAATTACTTTAAATATGAATAATCCAACTCACTAGTTAGAAGACATATTGACTGAATGGATATTTAAAAAACAAAATCTAACACTCTGCTTCACACAGGAGATTCATTTTAGATCAAACACATAAGCTGAAATAGAAAGGATGGAAAAAATATTTCATGTAAAAAGTAACCACAAGAGAGCAGGGGTACCTATAATAATATCAGATAAAATAGACTTTCAGTGAAAAATTGTCACAAGAGACTAGAAAGGATAATATAGAATGATTAACAAGTCAGTTCACCAAGATATGATTATAAATATGTATGCACCAAACATCAGCACTCCTAAATATATGAAGCAAACATTAACAGAATTGAAGAAAGAAATAGACAGCAACACAGTAATATTAGGAGACTTCAATAACCTGCTTTCAGTAATGGATAGGACAACCAGACAGAAGATCAGTAAGGATAACAGAAGACTTGAACAATACTGTAGACCAACTGGATGGAATAGACATACAGAACTCTCCACTCAATTCCTATAAAAATCTCAATGTATCTTTGCAGAAACAAAAAAAATACCCATGCTTAAAATTAATATCAAGGGACCTTGAAAAGCCAAAACAATCTTGAAAAAAAACAATAAAGTTGAAGAACTCACACTTTCTGACTTCAAAATTTACTACAAAATACAGTAATCAAAATATGATACTAGCATAAACACAGACATACAGAACCATAGAACAGAATAGAGAACCTAAATAAACCTTTGTGTATGTGGATAAATGATTTCTGACAAGGGTACCAAGACCATTTAATGGGGGAAGAAGACATTCTTTTCATCAAATGTTGCTGGGAAAACTGAATGTCCATATGCAAAAGTATGAAGCTAGACTCCTCTTACTATAGGGAACCAGCCCTACATCACCTGTGGGTACCCCATGTTCAGTGGTGACGAAGGAATGAGTACAAGACAGATTAAGAGAGATAGTAGGACCAGGGGGCCATCACTCATTACTTTGGAGGAGACAGTGAAGACCCCAAGCTCTGATCATCCACACTATTTATTGGTTACAATCACTTTGATCTACAGGGTAGGGATAGTGATGGTGGGGAGGGTGATGGCAGAGTGAATCAGTGAGCCAGAACTGGTGTGTCATTCTAAGGATTGATAACAGTGGTGGTTTGAGAGTTTCACAAAACAACAACATGTGGTTATCTTTAGCTTATTATCTATGTACAGCTGATGGAACGCAGGCCTTACAAGTTTCCTACAAGTCTGGCTATGTCATAGTGCAATGAAGGGGTTTTACGTCCTTGAGCACAATGTTTATGGTAACAGAGCCTAGGTCACCCTGCACTGGAACATGAGGCATGGAGAGGCTTTCCTCCTCAGAGACCTCCCTCAGCCTTCCGCAGTTTGTTGTTCCTTGTTTATATGTTACTCATAACCAATTTAAGCACTCTGTAAGTCCTTTTTCCTTTGCTGCTTTTTCCAACACTTACCTTACACCATATACAAAAATCAACTAAAAATGTATCAAAGATCTACATACAGGTCTAAAACCTTAATTCTCTTGGAAGAAAACATAGGAGAAAACGTTGTAACATTGGATTTGGCAATGATTTCACAGGTAAGACACCAAAAGTACAGGCAATAAAAACAATTTAAAAAAAGATAATTCATTAAAATTATTGTGTTGGCTTCATTAAAATTATTGGACTTCATTAAAATTATTGTTTGTCCATCAAAGGATACTATCAACAGAGTGAAAAGACAACCCACATGACAGGAGAAAATACAGTTGGCCCTCCGTATCCATGGGTTCCTCATCTATGGATTCCACCAACAGACTGAAAATATTTGGAAAAGAACTGTACTAAACATGTACAGACTTTTTTTCTTGTAAATTATTCCCTAAATAATACATTACAATGATTTATAAAACAATTACATTGTATTAGGTATTATAAGTAATGTGGAGATTATTTAAAGTATATGTGAGGATGTATATAGATTATATGCAAATACCAGGCATTTTGTATCAGGGACATAAGCATCTGCAGATTTTGGTATCTGTAGGGGGTCCTGGAACCAACTCCCACAAATACTAAGGGACAACTGTATTCCATGATAAGTGACAACCAGAATATAGAAAGAACTACAACCCAATAAGAAAAAAAAATTAATGTACAAAAGACTTCCAAGATATACAAATGGACAGTAAGTACATGAAATGATGTTCAACATCACTAATTGTTAGGAAAATGCAGATCAAACCACAATGAGAGACTACTTTTACATACATTAGGATGCTATTATTGTTTGATTTAGCTGAAAGGCTGAGAAGCAATAAGATGGCCATTATCAAAAAACAGAAAGCAAATAGTGTTGGTAAGGATGTGGAGAAACTAGAGTATTTGTACATTGCTGGTGGGACTACAAAATGTGTGACCCCTGTGGAAAACAGTATGGTAGTTCCTCAAAAAATTAAACATAAAACCATTACATAAAACCATTATATGATGCAGCAATTTTACTTCTGGTATCCACCCAAAAGAACTGAAAGCAGGGACATGAACAGATATTTGTACACCCATGTTCATTGCAACATTAGTCACAATAGCCAAAACGTGGAAACAACCAAAATGGCCATTGACAGGTGAATGGATACACAAAAGGTGTAATACATGTAATGAAATATTATTCTGCCCTAAAAAGGGAATTAAATTCTGATACCTGCTACAGCATGGATGAACTGTGCAGACATTATGCTAAGTGGAATGAGGCTCTAAAGAACAAATATTGTATGACTCCACTGATATGAAGTACCTGGAATAGTCAAATTCTTAGAGACATAAAGTAGAACAGCGGTTATCAGGGCCTTAAAGAAGTAAGAAATGGAAAATTGTTACTTAATGAGTACAGAATTTCAGTTTGGGATGATTAAAAAGTTCTGTAGATGGGGAGTAGTGATGGTTAAATAACATGTGAATGTGCCTAATGCCACTAAAGTATACACTTAAAAAATAGTTAAAGTGGTAAATTTTATGTTACCTTTTACCACAACAAAAAAATCAAGGAGACATAAACACAACACCATAAAAACCCTAGAAGAAAATCTAGGCAAAACCATTTAGGACATAGGTGTAGGCAAGGACTTCATGACCAAAACACCAAAAGCATTAGTAAACAAAAGCCAAAATAGACAAATGGGGCCTAATCAAACTCCACAGCTTCTGCACGGCAAAAGAAACAGTAATTAGAGTGAATCGACAACCAACAGAATGGGAAAAAAATTTTGTAGTCTACCCATCTGACAAAGGGCTGATAACCAGAATCTACAAAGAACTAAAACAGATTTATAAGAAACAAGCCCATTCAAAAGTGGGCGAAGGATATGAACAGACACCTTACAAAAGAAGACATACATGAGGCCAACAAACCTATGAAAAATGCTCATCATCACTGGTCATTAGAGAAATGCAAATAAAAACTATATTGAGATACTATCTCACGCCAGTTAGAATAGCGATCATTAAAAAATCTGCAGACACCAGATGCTGAAGAGGATGTGGAGAAATAGGAACACTTTTACACTGTTGGTGGGAGTGTAAATTAGTTCAACCATTGTGGAAGACAGTGTGGGGATTCCTCAAGGACCTAGAAATAGAAATTCCATTTGACCCAGCAATCCCATTACTGGGTATATATTCAAAGGATTACAAATCATTCTACTATAAGGACACATGCACACGAATGTTCATTGCAGCACAGTTTACAATAGCAAAGACCTGGAACCAACACAAATGCCCATCGATGATAGACTGGACAGGGAAAATGTGGCACATATACGCCATGGAATATTATGCAGCCATCAAAAATGATGAGTTTGTGTCCTTTGTAGGGACAGGGATGAACCTGGAAACCATCATTCTCAGCAAACTGACACAAGAACAGAAAATCAAACACCACATATTCTCACTCATAAGTGGGTGTTTAAAAATGAGAACACATGGACATAGGGAGGGGAGCATCACACACTGGGGTCTGTTGGGGGGAAATAGGGGAGGGACAGCGGGGGGTGAGGAGTTGGGGAGAGATAGCACGGAGAGAAATGCTAGATATAGGTGATGGGGAGGAAGGCAGCACATCACACTGCCATGTGTGTACCTATGCAACAATCTTGCATGTTCTTCACCTGCACCCCAAAACCTAAAATGCAATTTTAAAAAATAAATAAATAAAAAATAAAGGAAAGAGAAAAGAAAGAAATGAAACCACTAATGGTCTAGGCACCTGTTGGAAACATTCTAGAAAAAAATTGTGCTAATGACAAAAACTAAAGGAAAGAACTGAATTCTCCTTTAAGCTTTAATAGCTAAATTTAGAGGTTATCTTGGGGCTACATGTTTGAATTTCTAGGTATGTGGCATACCTCTTATTTCTTCCCACTGACTTTGCTCATAGTCAAGGGTAATAAATCATGTAGTTACATATCTACATTGTCTTGTTTGTACTACTCATTGTCATACTGTCTGAAAAAAACTTATATTTATTTATTAATTTTTCTTTTTTTGAGATGAAGTCTCACTCTGTCACCCAGGCAAGAGTGCAGAGGTGTGTTCTCAGCTCACTACAACCTCTGCCTCCCAGATTCAAGTGATTCTCCTGCCTCAGCCTCCAGAGTAGCTGGGATTACATGCCACCACACCTAGCTAATTTTTGTATTTTTAATAGAGACAGGGTTTCACCATGTTGCCCAAGCTGGTCTTGAACTCCTGACCTGAAGTGATCTGCCCACCTTGACCTCCCAAACTGCTGGGATTACAGTCGTAAGCCACCAAGCCCAGCCACAGAAATCTTATATTTAGAAATGACAGAAACTGATTCTTTTAATGTGGAATTATGGTACATATAGTAACCTGCTGCACTTCCTATTTTTACTATCACCCAAAGACAGGAGTGACATACATAGAATAGGGAGTGTGTGTACAGTATTTACATTTCGACAATTACATTAGTAGAGCACTAGTGTGTAACCTCTGAAAATGATAAAGTAGTAATTTTTGAGTTCACTAATATTTCTATCATAAGTTTATCAATTTACTTGATGGATGACAGTATCTTCAAGTATTGGTTGAGATGGAATAGTTGATAAATTGTTCTCATATTCTTTCCTCTAAAAAATGATTTTTAAAAAATATTTTAAATATACCAACATACTTTATCTCAGTATTTATGATCTATTTACTTTCTGAAAGACTTGGGGCATTTCATAAAAGTATTTTATATATCATATCTAAAGTAAATTATATATACAGCAAAAGTCAATTAAAAGTTGCAGGCCAGGCATGGTGATTTATGTCTGTAATCCTAGTGATTTGGGAGGCTAAGGCAAAAAGAGCACTTGAGCCCAGTAGTTGAGCAACATAACAAGACCCTGTCTTTACAAAAATAAAAATTTTTTTAAATTATCCAGGCATGGTGGTGCACGCCTGTAGTCCCAGCTGCTTGGGAAGCTGAGGCAAGATCACTCAAGCCTAGGAATTAGAGCTATAATTGTGCTATGAGCTGTAACTATGCCACTGATCTCCAGCCTAGGCAACAGAGCACAACCCTATTTCAAGAAAGAAAAGGTGCATAGTAAGTAATGTTGAATATCAGGCTGTTATATACAAGTTAAAACTAAATTTAGCTCTGAAATTGGGAAGGCAAAGGCAAAAAAGTGAAATAGGTTTACCTTGAGAAGCATCATGATATAATAGAAAGAATGCAGTATTATAGACCAACTGTCTCAGGCGAGTTTTGTTCCACTACCTCCTCACTGCTATACGCCTCTAAAACTGTTTCCTCATCTGTAAAATGAGAATAGTTATGTTTAATCTAGTAAGACTATATGATTATTTTGTCCAATTAGGTAATGGGAAACCATTCTGTTCTTAAACATGGTTATTATTATTATTGACTTAATTTTTTAACATATGCAAATAGTACATTTATCTGGATGGAAACTTTTTTCAGCACTTTGTATTCACACTCAAGAATGTTTGTGCAGGCCAGGTACAATGGCTCATACCTATAATCCCAGCACTTTGGGAGGTAGAGGCGAGCGGATCACTTGAGGCCAGGAGTTCAAGACCATCCTGGCCAAAATGGTGAAATCCTATCTCTATAAAAAATACAAAAATTAGCCTGGTGTGGTGGTGCATGCCTGTAGTCCCAGCTACTCAGGAGGCTGGGGTGGGAGTATCACCTGAGTCTGGGAGGTTGAGGCTGCACTGAGCTTTGATTGTACGACTATACTCCAGCCTGGATGACAGAGTGAGATCTTGTCTCAACAACAACAAAAAAAAATTTGTGTAAAAAAAAAAAACTGAAAAGTGGCTCACTCCTGTAATATCAGCACTTTGGGAGGCCAAGGCAGGCAGATTACCTGAAGTCAAGAATTCAAGACCAGCCTGACCAACATGGTGAAACCCCATCTCTACTAAAAATGCAAAAAAATTAGCCAGGCGTGGTGGCATGTGCCTGTAGTTCCAGCTACTCAGGAGGCTGAGGCAGGGAGAACTGCTTGAACCCGGGAGGCAGAGGCTGCAGTGAGCTGAGATCACGCCACTACACTCTGCACTCCAGCCTGGGCAACAGAGCAAACACTGTTAAAAAAAAAAAAAAAAGAAAGAAAGAAAGAAAGAAAAGCAAGCTGGGTACGGTAGTGCATGCCTATAGTCTCAGCTCCTCTAGAGGCTGAGGTGGGGAAACTGCTTGAGCCCAGGAGTTTTAGGCCAGTGTGGGCAACTCAGCAAGACCCAATCTCTACCAAAAAAAAATGTTTTTTAACTGAAAAACAAACGAAACACGTCTTAGAGTTTTGATTCTAGTCACAGAGATGTTTCTTATAACTCTGTAAGCTGAAAGAATTATATTAAATCATAATTCACTAAAGGCATTTCTGTGGAAAGGTGAAATGACAAGTTCTAAGCACATTCTTTTCTGATGGTTTGCTTAACACAGAAGTCAAAAAGTTAGCTTATCTATCAACTTGTCTCTCATATGAACCAAAAGCCTCAATCTAACCTTTGGCAAGTGCTAGACTATAATCAGTTTGAGGCTACATTTTCTACAAAAAATGTCAAGGACCAAATTCTGCAGTGTTGATTAAAAGGAAACCTATGTATGATACCAAATATGCAAGAAGCAGAGTTCAATTTCACAGTGTTCAGTAGTGAAACTTGAATACCGTAGCTGGTCAACTTACTTAGGAAAGTGTTTCCTGCCACATACAGTGCTTGCTTATAGCATGCTTATAAGCAAAAGCCTTAAATAATAGGAATAGAGAGAGAGAGGAGTTAATCATAAAGCATCCTGTGGAACTAGTTTTGTTAGTACATTTAAAAAACTCTAGTGGAAAAAAAAAAACACTTCATAGAGAAATAAGAACTAAATTATAATCCCAACTCTGCTACTAAGTGACTTTGGACAAAACACTCAACCCATATGAGCCTCAGCTCATATATTAATTAACCTCATATGTTAATCTGTAACATAAAAGAATTTCAGATTAGGGAGTTTTAAGGTTTCTTCCAACCCTAAAATATTATACTTCTGGCATGTAATTATTATTAAACCAAATCAGAAACTTCACAAGAGACCATTAGTAACACAGATGAAACCTAACGTAACAAAACTGTGAGATGATCACTTATTAAAATTCAAAAATCTGTATTAAGTGAGCAACAGATCAAAATCCAGTTTATAGCAAAGCAAAGCTTAACTTGTCCACTGAATTTACTTACAAAAGTCTGTGTACATTTAAAGGAAAGTAACCTGATATCACCCAACATTAGGTAACAGCTAAAGGGTGTGGCTCTGAAAATGCACTCAACCATATGTAGAAATCAGTGAGGGACTGGGGAAAACCCTTTTGTTGCTGTAAAATTACTACAAGAATTAACATGTAGCTTCATTGAGTCAAGGCTCAGCACAATTTCAACACATTTTTAGAAAATGAAGATCAGTCTTCCTTGGAACCACAACTTCCTATTATTAAACAAAATCACCTCCTCCCACACTAGGAAACAAAGCAAAACCACCAATTCTATAGTGTTTATCCAGAAGCTTAAAATTTCATAAGCTTTTGGTCCAATAATTCTATTTCTACAGTTCTATACCAAGGAAATAATCCTACAAACAGGAAAAAAAAAAAAATCATGCCTAAGAATAGCAATCATAGCGTTATTTATGAAAAAGAAGAAATTGGAAACAATACAAATATAACCAAAAAAGGAATGGTTAAATAAAGCTATAGTATTTAATGGAATAAAATTCAGCTATTAAAAACAGACTATGTAGAAAGTGAAAAGTTATGAAGTGTTGTGAGGCCAAAAAAAGAAAGAAAAAGGAAAGATATAGAATTGTATATACAATAGAATTCGAGCTGTGTTTAAAATAAATAAAACATGTATGTGGAGAAAAAGACTGGAAACTAATTCAGGTTAACCATCGTTTTATGTTACTGGTAGGACTATGGGTAAATTTTCATACTTTCCTGTTTTCCAAATTTTATTTAATGATTATGTTTTATTTCAAATAATGTTTAAAAAATTGAATATAAATTATTTTACAAATCTTCAAAATATCCCTCTAAAGTACAGAGTATAAGTTAAGGTTATTTAGCATGGAAACCTTGGAAATGCCCTGAAGTCTTTTTTTTTTTTTTTTTTTGAGACAGAGTTTTAGTCTTCTTGCCCATGCTGGAGTGCAATGCCACCATCTCAGCTCACTGCAACCTCTGCCTCCCGGGTTCAAGTGATTGTCCTGCCTCAGCCTACCAAGTAGCTGGGATTTCAAGCATGTTCCACCACACCTGGCTAATTTTTTTGTATTTTTAGTAGAGATGGGATTTCTCCGTGTTGGTCAGGGTGGTCTCAAACTCTCGACCTCAGGTGATCTATCTGCCTCAGCCTCCCAAAGTGCTGGAATTGCAGACGTGAGCCACCATGCCCAGCCAGCCTTAAGTCTTTTTAAAATGTAGTGAATTCTAAAGGAAATCCTCCAAAGGAAAATTTTTTGTTTTGTTTTTTTAAAATTCTGGAAGATCCTTGAGAAGTTAATTCTATGATTCTAACTTTTTAAATTATAATTCCTAAAGTAAGAGAGGATTAAATCATGGATAGCAGACACTGCATAACATCAACAACAAGGCTGAACCACATGATACTTCTTAGGTATGCCATCAGCCTTCTAGCAACAAGTATATCTAGATATTAGGAAAATAAAATAATTTACCTAAGATCTCTGCCAGTTGATGAACAAGGCCAAAACCGAACTCATTTTCTCAATGACCATTCTCATGGTATACAAACTAGACTTTGGTATGGTAGTTTATAAGCCAAGAGTTGAAGCTTATGTTTTAAAAATGACAGTGCTTAGTTTTCTTTTTAAATTCAAAGCTATCTAAAACCCCGGAACTTGCCAGCACACACACTCAAGCCCCAGGCACTATTAAATTACACATTCTTCTTGCTACCTGTTTTTCCAGGTTTTTTTTTTTTTTTTCAATTTTGTATACATCAAGATCTGCAGGCACATATATACATACATGTGTTGCCCTTATTTTTTAGCCCCATACCTGTTTCCTTTGAGATGTGAGTACTTAAAATAGTATAAATGCAGACTTCTGAAAGGCTTCTCTTAGTAATAATTTTTAAGATGTAACTTACAGAACAAATTTATTTTTTAAATTATTTTCACCTATACTTTAAGAAAAATGTCTCCCATTATGACATGACAGTTTAAATGCTATTATCCCTACTCTTTACCTTTCACTTTTCCATTTCAACTCTAAGAAGTTTATCTTCAAATTTTTAAAAATGTCCCCACTGTATTATTATTCACATAATATCACTCATCTTTCGTCTTATCTTCAGACATCATCCAACTTCAAAAGCCCATAAAATCTTCTGTTTTTCTGTAACTGATAGGGATGGGAGCGGATGGGGGGAGTGCAAAAGAAAGAAATAATAACAAATGGGAAATAGATGAAGTTCTTGCTAATACTTCTTTTCAGCTTCATAAAATGTTATGAAAGTCTTATAAAACCACAATCTTCTCTATTTTATAAACCATTACCTCAAGCCACTATCAAATGCTCATTAAAACACTGAAATTAAGAAATATATGCCATATAATACCTTTCAGAACACACAATATTTTAAAATCACACTGAAGAATCCAAATGACATACAGTTTGCAATTTTTCATTGGAGAAGCTTTCAGATGCTTACAAATTTCAATTAACATCCTGTCCTTTCTTTGCCTTTTAATGCTTATTATTTCTTGACTAATTTTTATGAATATCATATCAAAATTTTGATGATCAAGTCAGATAAGTATACAGTTCTCTTATGTATCTATGGGTAGTGCATTTTAAACTATTTTGTTTCACTATTTTTAAATAGTTAAAGATACAAATGTTACTTTTTACTCTGCCTAAACATTATTTTAATTATTTTTATTTGTTTATTTGCAGGAAACCAAAGATGGTGGTTCTCTCAGAATGATTCACTTTGGTCTGGTGTAAACAACAAGAACAAAAGAAACCTGCCTTTTTCATATCTAAACTTTTTCATGGCTTGATACAGACTTAAAATCTCCCTGTGTGGATTCTTAACAAGGAGACAGTATGAATCATATGAATTAGTTAAGAGTTCTAAGTGGAGTGTTTTCAAAATAAAGTTTTATTATTTCAAAAACATACAACATAACAGCAAAATGATCGTAAGTCTTTAGTCTACTTATTTTCAATAATGAAAACATTTTGAAAGTGTCTTAAATTGTACCTTAATTAGGTGCTACAAAAATAGCATATTTAAACTTTGTTCTCCCAAGTACTTTAAAATGGGGCAGTAGGAGGCAAGCATAGTGGCTCATTCCTGCAGTCTCAGTGCTTTAGGAGATGAAGGCTGAAGGATCACTTGAGCCCAGGAGTTCAAGACTAGCCTATGCAACATAGTGAAACGCTATCTCTAGAAAAATTAGCCAGGCGTGGTGGTACATGCTTGTGAAGCTGAGGCAGGAGAACTACTTGAGCCCAGGAGTTCAAGGCTACAGTAAGCCATGGTCACACCACTGCACTCTAACCTGGACAACAGAGTATGACCCTGTCTCAAAAAAAAAAAAAAAAAAAAAAATCTTCTTCTGCTCTTGTTTACATTATTAATTTACATTATAAATACAGTATTTATTATGCAAATGTTTCAGTCCAGACCCATTATTAGAAGATAGTTCTCCATGGTTCTCTCAAATTACTGCTATGAGTAGTTTGCCCTGACTGCCCCTGGGAACAAAGATACTGTTTCCCTCTGGAGCAAGGGGCGGGCATATGAGATTTTAGTTCTTTAAGCTCAGAATGCCTCTCCTTTACACTGCTCACTCTGTGTGTAGGTGACATCTAGCCCTCTTAACATTGTTCTGTAGGAATAGAGCTCAGAGAATCCATTAAAAAAAAAAAAAAGAAAAGAAAAAATGCCAATGCCAATACCCTGGCTACTATCATTTATCTCTGACTCAGGAGTCTCATGTCTTCTACCAGCATCCATGAAACTATAGTGTGGTAACTTGTTTGCTAATAAAGAGGATAAAATCTCATACCCTTCACAGTTCTGACACCCATTCTTTAGCAGATAACCAATATTTCACAATTATAGACATCTATAATAATCAACATTGTTAACTGCTATACAATTAACATTATATAATTAAACCTTAGAGTTAAAAGTTGATAAGATTGGAGGCTTTTACATTTCAGATTTTTCTACTTCCCATTTATCTGTACCTCTACCAGAGGATATGACCAAAAAAGATGAAACTCAAATTACATGTTTTTCATTTTGTTATTGCTCTGAAAAAATTTTAATAATGTATAACATGTAAGAAAAACTAAAAAGAGATATGGAGTTACCAGAAAATTTTCATTTTACTATTCCCATTCTTCTTTATCACACAGATAATCAAAAGTTAACTAATTTTTAGAGAAAAATTGTATTTAAAAAATAGGATTTTGTCAAGATTGCAAAATTTTCTCCAGATTTTCTGGTAAATAGTCATTAACCCAAAATACCTTTCCTGTGAGATATTAAATATAAAATACAGATTTTGATACAGCTGTGTTGTTCTATAAAATGATAATAATAATGTTTGCTGGTTATCTAGGTGAAAATTAAACAAATCATAGTTCTTAAAGTACCCATTTTCCCCACTTCACATATCTCTAGAAAAATTAACTCAAATATACAGAAAACCAACTTTAGATAGAAGTATATATTATGATCTTTGATAATGTATGATTTATAAGTGCTGTTATTTCCCAGATGTTGTCCATCTGAGAATGTTTATTAAACATTCCAGTAAATTGATATTCCTGCTTTGCTAGAACCTGAAAGGATTATGAAGCTACCATAGCTCTAAAGAAGAGTGATATAGGCAGGAACAGCTTGGTAGTATCTGTCCTGGCACAGACAGGTTCACAGTGTCCTTCAGGAACAAACCCATGAGCTTTTTCAACTATTTTCCAGATTTCTCAGATCTGAAGTAATTTGCACAGTAATTTATATTAGCTATCACGTGTGTCTTATTGCTAGAATAAATTTCATTTGGAATGCTAATGTCTAAATGTTTTTGCTTCATTAAAAGGCTATGTAAACACATATATAACCTATGGTAACCTTCACATTATGCACATGTACCCCACTACTTAAGGTATAATAAAATAAATAAAAAGTAATTTATAGGAGAAATAAAAGGATTTTAACATAGCATAAATATTAATGTTTAGGCTGATATGAACTTGAAAACATAATAAAGTAGTCAGATATTTGCAGCTATTATTAATAAATTTGGATTTTCAATTTGTAATTTTTTTAAAAAAGGCCATGTATCCAAAACTTGGTATCATACTTTCTTCCTACTATCTTGAAATGTTTATGAAGAGTTAAAATTATACCACTCTCTACTGCGAGTTTGATCAGAGCTACAACATGCATGGCCCTGTACAAGACACTGTACATAGGTATTCTCCATGAAAAGTCCCCCAAAACTCAGTGAGAAAGATACATCATCAACATCCCACTCCTATGGATGAGGTAACCTGATGACACTTCTAGCACCAATTTCACCTAGAAAGGACAGAGGAGACTGGCCTCTCCTCCCACAATGTGCCAAGTAGAGTTTTTGAGCTGGCCTGCACTGCCCTCAAGCAGCTGAAGGGTCCTGTGTACATTTATGAGAAAACTGCTGGTGTACAGCTTCTACAAACAGCCCACACAAATCAATTGCAACATTGCTGCCCTCCAGCCTCAGATGTGAAAGCCAACTCCAAGTGGGAGGCATGTAATGTGAACAAAGGAATGTCTAAGATGGACATCATGAGGATCTATGTTGCCAAAGTGGAAAAACTGAAGAAGAATGAGGCTGGCTAAGGACACATTGGCAGACACAAGGAAGCAGCATGGCTCTGTTACAGAATGCTCTTCTTAAAAAACCTTGATGGCTGAAATGTTCTGAAACAATAGCAAGGTTAGCTAAGACATCAATAGATCACTTAAACTGCATGAGAGTGACTGCTGTTGGAAAAGAGAAACACAGTGACTGTGAGTGCTAGGGAGGTAACCAAATGTACAAACTGGTTTTTTGTATGGTTTTTGAGTGGAGTTCCCAGCCTTCCTATTACAAGAGCTAGGTAGGCATTTGGCAGGTGTAGAGTAGTTAGGGGGAGAATGTGCTGTGGAAATGCCCAAGGGCTGAGGTCAGTGAAACCATTCTCCAGTGACAGCCTCTTGGGAGGCTGAGGCCCTAACACTTTATCTCTTCAGGGTTGATTCACTAATAACACTACAGAGGGGAAAGGGACTCTGTCCTCCAAAAAGCTAAAGTTAAGACCAAAAGCTCCCACTGAGGCACAGGCCCCAAGAAGTTAGTGTTTTTAGGGAGAACAAGTTTTTAGTGATAATGTGGTGAAACAACTGACACAGTACAACACAGCAGTTGAGAAACAATGATGCACGTAGTGTCAAAATACCAGCCTAAGAAAGACTCATCGAAGACCTAGCAACCAAAATTTTCTTGAGATTATTCTGTACCTAACCCTGGTTTCTGCTTGGGGATGTTTGTGGGACAATATGCATATGTATTTATATGTGGGATTTGTTGCAAGAACACAACACACCCCTTTACTTAAGCAAATGCCAGAGTGAGCCCAACTTGTGATCCTTACTGTCCATTAACATGGAGGCATCAATGCACAACCATTACGCCTGATGACTAGAGTATGGAGAACTAAATGGTATTCAAAGAAGCAGGTCTACAGTGACATGAGATTTCCTGGTACTTCTTCCTTAATTAAAAATTATTTTTCTGGCCGGGCGCGGTGGCTCAAGCCTGTAATCCCAGCACTTTGGGAGGCC